ATATATTTTTTTTTTTTAACTGCCAAAAACAAAAATTTTCAAATTTCAGAATTAGTATAGAATTCTAGCTGACTCAGTCACTAAAACCAGCAGGGCCATTTACCTTGATCTGATTTTCTTTATCACATAGAACTTGTTTTGCATGTACTCTGGAGTCTTCAAATGTTATTTTCTGTTTATTAAGTTCACTCACTTGTTCTTTCCATTCTTCAGCTTCTTGTAAAAGCTAAAAATCAAACCCCACACAAAAAAGAAAAACTCATTATTACTTTATCATACTTTTTATATATTTAACTGTATCATCTATATATATGAAAGCCTAAGTGACCATTACAAGCGGTTGACCAAATGACTGGGAAACTGGTTGCTATGACAACACACTGACCACCAGGGGGCAGACGCTCAATGCAGGAGCTGCCCCTGATGGTCAGTGTGCTCCCACAGCTAACCTCCTGTTGCCAGCCAACCTCCCGTGGTTCCCACCCCCCGCCCCACCCCGGCCGGCCCCGATCGGGACTGGGCAAGACCACCCTGATTGCCAGCCAGGCAGAGCAACCCCACCTGTGCACGAATTCATGCACCAGGCCTCTCGTTAATAGGTATTATGCAATGCAATGTGTTGCTAAGAAGGGAGGAAAAAGAAAGGGATGGAATGAAGGAGGGAGGGAGGGAGGGACAGGAGTAGGAAAGGAAGGGTGAACTCCTGTTTGCAAAGAACTTTCAAAAGAGTAATAATGTAAAATAACAGACACTTAACCATCTTCAACTAATTAACATAATAAGTCTATATCTATATCAAATGAAGTTTCTGAGATACACATATGTTAGATTTGGTCATTTTTTAGCACTCCTTATATCCCATACTATACCTTACTTGTATTAAAATGTATCCTACACAAGAGACACAGAATATGGGAGATTGTCCTGCTCTTGTGCTCTCCGGAAAAAGCCTTTCCTTGCCCCTTGCATGGGTCAGTCATCAGTATGCCCAGAAGATTTATAAATACAAGTTGAAGGATCTCTATACAGTACAAACCTGTTTCTGGCTTTCCTGAAGTTGGGAATTTTCACTCAAAGCATCTTTTATAGCTATCTTAAGTCGTTCTTCATTCATTTGAAATATTTTGAAGGTTGTTTTGGCCTAAGAAAATACAACATATCAAGTTTATAACAATTAGTTTAATACAATAGTTATTTTTTATCCATCTTCCCTAAAACATGAAATTAAAGTAAAAAACATGCCAATATTAATAGAAGAGGCAGCATAGTGTAGGAGAAAAACTCTGGCCTAGAATCAGGATCTAGTCATGGCTCCCACACTAACTAGCTGTGTGGCTTTAAACCTTGACTTAACCTCTTATAACCTTCTATGTACTGTTTAAGAAGTTTAATTAGCTTTTTAAAATATGTTTTTACTGATTTAGAAGGAGAGGGAGAAAGAGAGAAATATCGATGTGAGAAACATCGATTAGCTGCCCCCTGCAGACCCCCGACTGGGGATGAAGCCTGCAATCCGGCATATGCCCGGACCAGGAACCAAACTGGCAACCTTTTGGTGCACTGGACGATGTCCAACCAATTGAGCCTCACCAGCCAGGGCAGTTTAATTAGCTTTTTATTATCTGTTCTTCTCTTACCATAATTTAAGTTCCATGAGAGCTTTTCTGTCTATTTTAACTACTAATGTAAGTGCCTATCACCTACAACAGTGACCAGTACATAGCAATAGCTCAATAAATACTTGTCCAATAAGAAAAATAAGCTTTTCTGAGGTACCTTGTATAAAACATATATGTCTAAGACCCCTATATCTCAATTATAATATTATATCTTATTTTTTAATCATAATAGTAATAGGAACATTAAAATTATTTTCAAAAGCAACAGACCTATTAGACTAAAGCAACTTACTTCAGCTACTTGTGATTTGAGTGATTTTGATTCATCTTCTAAGGACTGTATCCTTTTCGAAATATCCACCATCTGGAAAGACAGTATCAATCAATAAACAAACATTTACTAAACTCCTCCAGTTTCCAAGATGCCATACACATTAGATATATTGTTAACCTAACCAGTTTTCCTCAAAAAGCTGAGGGCTCAAATTAAGAAATCTTCTCCGCCATTTGCTTAAAGGAATCTTACATGAAAGTTACATAATAATATTTTATCTCATCTTTAATGTTTTATGACATTTAAGTTTAAATAGGCTCCAGAAAAGTCCACTAACATTGTATCTTAATAATCTCATACACATCAAGATCTTCCTTAAGAAAGATTTTAAAATATGTGACAAATAAAGTTAAAATGTTAACATACTTTTTGAGTGATAAAATCCACTATGTATGTGATTATTCAAACTAAACTATTTGTGTGAGCTACTTCCATAGTGCATATCAAAAATTTCTATAAGAATATGCAAAAGCCCTAGCCGGTTTGGCCAGGATAGAGGAGTGGATAGAGCATTGGCCTGCAGACTGAAGGGTCCCAGGTTTGATTCCAGTCAAGGGCACATGACTGGGTTGTGGGCTTAATCCCCAGGAGGGGGTGTGCAGGAGGCAACCGATCAGTGAGTCTCTCTCATCATTGATGTTTCTATCTCTCTCCCCGCTCCCTGCCTCTCTGAAATCAATAAAAATATTATTTTTAAAAAGTCACAGTCGTCTTAAAAAAAAAAAGAATATGTAAGAAACAACAAAATAATGGTAACCTCTAGCAAATGAAAGAAGTAGTGGATCTGAAAATTTTTACTCTCTACTTTACAACCTTCTGTATCTTTAAATTTTTTACAGTGTTTACAATTCTTTAAATCAGTGCTTTTCAACCAGTATGCTGTAAGGATTTTTAAAACATGCAATACCTGGCTATTTAGTCAGGGACACTGACCTCTTTTCCTTTAGAATGTCAAAATAAAAATGACAACAGCAAACACAACAATAGCCATCCGATGTGAATGAATCAAAATTATACCTTTTTTTGTCAGATAAGCAAAAAATGTATTTTTTAGAGTGCCACAGAATGTTAGTAATCAGTTTATGTGTGCTATGAAATGAAAAAGGTTGAAAATAGCTGCTTTAAACGATACAATTTTTTTAATGCAATAACTTTCTTCTACCTACAGTCTCCTCAAACACAGAAGCCTTACCAATTCATCTTGTTCAGAATGTTTAGATTTCTCTTCCTTTAACTCCTTTTCTAGAAAGTCTATTTCATCCTCACATTCAGATTTGGAACTGTTCAGCTTTTCACAGATTGCCTAAAAGAGGAAGCCAACTTTATAAGACAGACCTAGGAATTTCTGGTTAGGGTAAATCAGATAATTATAATAAAACACATATACTGTAAGTTAAATAAATTTAGTTTATATATTTGTTCATTTTTATAAGATTGAAATAATAGCCATTCTAGCAGGGGTCAGCAAACATTTTGTATACAGAGCCAGAGAGAAGTATTTCAGGTTTGCAGGCCCTGTAGTCTCTGTCCAAATACTCAACTTTGCCCATGTAGTGAGACAGCAAAGGCAACACATAAATCAATGAGCATGCCTGTGTTCCAATAAAATTTTATTTACAAAAAGCAGGTGGGAAGCCCAGAGTCTAGTTTGCCAACTTCTGCGCTAAAGCATTATAAAAGCAAAAATGAGGAATAAATCCAATTTAATAAAATTAAAGACATAATAAAATGCAAAATAAATTTTAAAACCAATCAAGATTGTTTCATAATAATAATCTACATTGAATTAAGACATATTTTCAGTGACCTTTTAAATTTAAAATGATTAGTTCTTGGATTATTCTAATTGGATATTAAATGCTATAATAAACATACCTCTGATATTTGTGATTCTTCAACAAACTTGTTAAAAAATAAACAAACCAAAAGTTCAAAGAATTTAATGTAGGCCCAAATAAAAGCAGAACAAGTACATACTACATTATAGTGGTTAAAAACTTATATATATTTCCTCAAATTTGACTATTCCATTATAAGAATTCTCTTACTTGAATCAAAATTACCACATCATTTTGATTTTATCTACCGAGTCAACCATCAAATTTTTTAAGTTGCATCATGTTAGTTTATATTCAATTTAATAATCTTGAAAATAAACATTTTCTTAAATTACTAAAATTAGACATTTACTTATTCATTTTAAACAAGTGATTGTTCATTTCAACACTCACTTGTTCACATTTTAAATGAGTGATTATTCATTTTAAAATAAAACTTCAGCTAATCTTATGCTAGATTAAGTAAGTTCAATGTCTTGAGAATAAATTGGTGTTTTATTTGATCCACAATACCACGAAGCTTGAGGCCTTTGCCCTCCAGTTTTTTAGGGGTTTTCTAAGCATGCTAAATGCCTTTAAAATTTTTTTAATCAGCCCTAGCTGGTTTGGCTCAGTGGATAGAGCGTCGGCCTGCGGACTGAAGGGTCCCGGGTTCGGTTCTGGTCAGGGGCATGTACCTTGGTTGCGGGCACATCCCCAGTAGGGGGTGTTCAGGAGGCAGCTGATCGATGTTTCTCTCTCATCGATGTTTCTAACTCTCTATCCCTCTCCCTTCCTCTCTGTAAAAAATCAATAAAATATATTAAAAAAAATTTATTTTAATCAAACTAATAAATTACTACTAGACCAACAGCTAAAAGAGAGGGTCAACAAATAAAATATAACTATTTCAACAAGTTCTTAAGAATATTAATAGGTAACAAGTGAAGAAAGAAAAGTTTAAGAAATGCTTTTCATTTGGAATTCAATTTGTAACTTACTTTAGACTCCAGTAGGAAATTCTGAATCATTATCCATAGACTTTCTGATGATTTACAGATATCAGTGATTGAGAACTGCCCAGCTGGACTGACTGAACATGTACACCAAAGGTAGGAAGTCTATTGTTTCTACTTTAATATTAGTAAGCTTTTTATAAAACTTCCACTTTAAAACAGTAGTAAGGCACTCCCATTACCTAAGGTAATCAATCTGTTGGAGTTTAGCCAAGGGACAAATTATGATACCTTCGTTCCTATTTAAGCCAAGTCATACATGGCAGGAAACCCAACTACGCATATGTCTTCCCAACTCTACCATCAGTGACATCATGCTGACATCTTGAAATTGGTCACAGTCAGAGTATTTACACGATATAAGTCAGGAAATGCTACAAATAAGGGCTTCTGCTTTGCAGATATCCAGTTGCTAAATATTTACCAGCACACCACTTATAACATAAATCTTTGGTCTAATTCTAGTCACTCCTAATATACTAGGGATGAAGTAAAAGCAAGTAATACCAAAATTTACGTAATTTATTGTTACCAACTATGCCTAAATTTATGAAAATCAATGTTATATTTTTCTTTCTGGAGCAAAATAAGTAAAAAAAAGGAAAAGGTCACGTTTAATACATTTCCCAGGAATGATGAATAAAGACCTCCTATAACACCCTAGATTTCAGTGAACTGAACACCTCACTCAAAACAAGTTTGCAACAACAGTTCAAATATTTAAAATATTTTATGCTACTTATTAATATTCTATTTCCTCTATTTAAATTTTTTTAAGTTTAACATCAAGAGATGCTCTTTTATATTTCCTTTCAAATAGTTTTGAGAAGACACATTTCATTTAAAATTGATGCTATTCCCCCAGCTTTGATAATTATACTATGTATTTTTACCTCTAAATTTTGAGCTTCTGTTGACTCCTTCTCAGAGCTGGAATCCTTTAATGATTCTAAGCCTTCATACTGAAAGAAAGCAACACTGTAAGTAAAAAGTACAAATTTTATCTGGGTAGGTATCTAAGAAACAGACAGAATCTAGTTCCACAGATATGTTAAATTTATTTGGATTTACTAAACTTTAAATTTGACTACTATAACAAACAAAGCTAGGGCAGCTAACACATCACAACCCATTAGCTTGGGCAACAAATGGCAGAACTTTACACTTGAGGCTATCCAAAGTCTACTTATTCATTAAAGAGAAATTTATACCAAGTGTTCATCAGAAATTTTCACTTGTAATTCAAATCTAACAACAAATAAAGCAAACAGGGACTATAAAATGTTTTAAAAATAAAGAAAACAACCAAGAACAATGTAACATAGGACAATGAAACATACAATGCTACAGGATTTAGCAAAATGCACTTACTTCATTGCTTTTTTTAAAAGTAAATTAAGATGCCTCGTTAGTACAGTAGGTAGCATATCAGTCTCATAAAAAGTAAATTAAATGGAAGAGCCAGGTTGTTTTAGATCAATCTTCTCGCTAAGAACAAGAAAAAGAGCTGGACGAATATAACAAAAGACAGGATATGTCTGAAGGCCTTAGAGCAGCGGTTCTCAACCTGTGGGTCGCGACCCCTTTGGGGGTCGAACGACCTTTTCACAGGGGTCACCTAAGACCATCGGAAAACACATATAATTACATATTGTTTTTGTGATTAATCACTATGCTTTAATTATGTTCAATTTGTAACAATGAAATTGGGGGCCACCACAACATGAGGAACTGTATTAAAGGGTCACGGCATTAGGAAGGTTGAGAACCACTGCCTTAGAGAGTGATCAAAATAATGAGAATGTGTGACAGGAAACAAAATAATCAGAACAAGCAGAGATTTTAGTAGAATTGGGAGTTGAGAAGACAACATTTAGAGTTCAGGACCTGATGAGTAGGATGAACCATGAAGCTCAGACAGACTTCACGATGGGACCCTGTGGTAAGTTAAATAACGACCTCTCCACAGTCTACCCTAATTCCTAAAATCTCCAGGTGTGATTAAGGATCTTGAGCTGGAGCAAATATCTGAGATTATATTGACGGGCTCAATATAGTCCCAAGAGGCCTTATAAAAGGGAGGCAAAAGGATCAAAGTTGGGAGAGAAGATGATGTGAAGATAGAAGCAGAGGATGGAGTGATACAGCTATGAGCCAAGGAATATGGGAAGTCTCCAGAAGGTGGAAGAGACAAGAAACAGGTTCTCTCCGGGACACAGACTGGCTGATATTTTAATTTTAGCCCTATAAGACTGGCTTTACACTTCTGACCTCCAGAACTATAGTTGAATAAATCTGTGTTGCCTTATGCCACTAAATTTGTGGTAATTTGTTAGAGCGACAAGAGGAAACTACTACCAACTCACAATGACTACCTTATAAGCAAGTCTAAACCACAAACTAACCATTTTAAGTGAGGCCAAGTCTCCAAACATCTCAATCTGTGATTAAAGTAATTAAGATTCCAAATGTCCCTAGCTCAGCTGCCTATGAGAAGCAACAGTAAATCCTCACTGCAGAAAGATCAAAATTATCTGTATAATTTTTGTTATACTATCACTGATACTCAATATAAAATAACCTGGTATTCAAAAAGACAAGATTTGACCTGGCCAGTGTGGCTCAGTTAGTTGGAACATCATCCTGTATAGAAAAAGGTTCTGGGTTCAATTCCCGATCAGGCCACATACCTAGGTTGCGGGTTTGATCCTGGTCAGGCACGGGCACTAGTTGGGCACATACAGAAAGCAACCAATGTTCCCTCTCACATTGATGCCTCTCTCTCTCTCTCTCTCTCTCTCTCATTCTCTCTCTCTCTGTCCCCCTCCCTTCTACCTTCCCTCCCTCCCTTTCTCTTCCTCTTCCTCCCACTGCTATCTTTGGGTAAGTATTAAAAAATAATAATAAAAAAAATGAATAAAAAGACAAGATTTGACTCAGAACCAAAGGAAAAAGTAAGAGAAACAGAGTTCTTAGTCAGACATTGGCTATAATAAAAAATACATATAATAACAAGTGTTGGGAAAGATGTGGAAAAACTGTAACACAAACTGCTACTGGGAATGTGAACTGGTGTAGTCACTGTGGAAAACAATTTGGTAGTTCTTTCAAAAGTTAAATGTAAATATAAATCTAGCAATTCTACTTCTGGGTATATACTACCCAAAAGAATTGAAAACATATATCCAAAAAAGAAAACATATATCCACACAAAACTTGTACATAAATGCACATAGCATCATTTATAATAGCCAAAAATGAGAATAACCTAAATGTCCATCAACTGACAAATGGGTATGTAAGTTGCCACAAAATATTATTTGGCAAAAAATATATAAAAAATTAGTACTGATACATGCTACAACAATGATAAACCTTCAAAACATCATTGTAAGTGTTTTAAAAAAGCAAGGCACAGCCCTAACTGGTTTGGCTCAGTGGATAGAGCGTCGGCCTGTGGACTCAAGGGTCCCAGGTTCGATTTGGGTCAAGGGCATGTACCTTAGTTGCGAGTGTAGGGAGTGTGCAGGAGGCAGCTGATCGATGTTTCTCTCTCATCGATGTTTCTTACTCTCTATCTCTCTCCCTTTCTCTCTGTAAAAAATCAATAAAATATATATTTTTTAAAAAGCAAGGCACAAAGGACCACATATTATACGATTCCATTTATGTGAAATGTACAGAATAGACAATTTTATAGGAACAAAAAGTACATTAATTGTGTAGGGCTTGGGAATGGGAGAGAATGGGTGAAGGGTGGTAGCTAAGAGGCGAAGCATTTCTTTTTGGGGTAATAAAAATGTTTGAAATTTATTGTAATGGATGCAAAACTCTGTTAATATATTAAAAGCCACTCATGCCCTAGCCAGTTTGGCTCAGTGGATAGAGTGTTGGCCTGTGGTCTGAAGGATCACAGGTTCGATTCCGGTCAAGGGCACATGCCCAGGTTGTGGGCTCAGATACCAGGGAATAAAATTAAGAAAAGATATGCAAGCCTGGCTGGTGTGGCTCAGTGGCTGAGCACTGACCTATGAGCCAGGAGGTCACTGTTCGATTCCCAGTCAGGGCACATGCCTGGGTTGTGGGCTCGATCACCAGTGTGGAACAAGCAGGAGGCAGCCAATCAATGATTCTCTATCATCACTGATGTTTCTATCTCTCTCTCCCTCTCCCTTCCTCTCTAAAATCAATAAAAATATATTTAAAAAAAGAAAAGCTATGCAAGATCTCAACTCAAAGATGTATAAAACAATATTGAAAGGATTACAAAAAGACGTAAGTAGAGGGATATACATAATCCATTCACAAGAACACAACATTGCAAATATCAATTCTCTCCAAATTGATCTATATATTTAATGCAATCCTAATCAAATTCCTAGAGCAGGCTATGTACGTGTGTAAACAGATTAAATGATTTCAAATTTATACTAGTATACAAAGGCAAAATGCCAAGACAATCTTGAAGAACAAACTTAGAGGTGTACACTGTGGTATCAAGACGTTATAAATGCCCTCGCTGGTTTGGCTCAGTAGTTATAGTGTCAACCCACAGACTGAAGGGTCTTGGGTTCAACAGCAAGTCAAGGGCACATACCTCAGTTGCCAGTTCAATCCCCGGCCCCTGTAGGGGCAAGTGCAGGAGGCAACCAATCTATGACATATCTCTCTCTCTCTCTCTTTCTCTCTCTCTCTCCCCCTTCTTCCCTCTCTTTCTCCCCGCTACCTCCCACTGTCTCTAAAAAACAATGAGGAAAAAATATCCTCCAGTGAGGATTAAAAAATAAAAAGACTTTTTATAAAAACACAGTAGATTTAAAAAGAATAAAAAAATATATAGCCCAACAAGACGGAAGCTATAGAAACAGATTCAGATATATACAGTCACTTGAATTAAGATGACACCACAGAACAAAGGAAAAGATGGTCTTTTCAACAAATAGTACTGGTTAATGTAATATCCATATGAAAAACATTAAATTTTGACCTCCAAATCACATCATCACAAATTGAATTCCAGATAGATGAAGAACTGAATAAATTTTGGCTAAATTGTTCCCCTCACTCCCAAATTAATAAGCTAAAGCCCCAATCCCCAGTATGAATTTGATTGCATTTGGAAATAGGCTCTTCAAGGAGGTGATTAAGTTAAAAAGGGGCTTTAGGGTGGGCCCTAATCCAATGTGTCCTTATAAGGAGAGAAAACCTGGACACAGAGAAATACCAGAAACAGGTACCAGGACAGAGGAAAGACCAGGAAATATCAGGCAAGAAGGCTGCCATCTGCAAGCCAAGGAGAGAGACCTTAGAAGAACCAAACCAGCCAACACCTTGGTCCTGGACTGCTAGCCTCCAAAACTGTAAAACAAATCTAATTTCTGTTGCATAAGCCACCCAGTCTGTGGTACGTTATGACAGTCCTAGCAAAGTAACATAAAGACTAAAGGAGAAAAGTAAAGCAACAAAGTTTCTAAAAGATAACACAAAAGGATACCTTCCTATCTTTGAGCAGACAAAAATTTCTTAAGTAGAAAACAAAAAGCAGTCATCCACCATAAAAAAAGATTGACATGCCCGGGCAGTGTGGTTCAATGGTTGAGCATCAACCTATGAACCAGGAGGTCACAGTTGGATTCCTGGTCAGGGCATATGCTGGGTTGTAGGCTTGATCCCCAGTGTGGGGAGTGCAGGAGGCAGCCGATCAACGGTTTTCCCTTATCATTGATGTTTCTCTCTTACTCTCCCTTCCTCTCTAAAATAAACAAAAATATATATATATTTTTAAAAAAGATTGACAAATCAGACTATATTAAAATTATAAACTTCTGCTTACCAAGATACCATCCTATATAATAAAAGGCTAATGTGCAAATTGACCAAACAGCAGAACGACCGGTCGCTATGACGCACACTGACAACCAGGGGGCAGACACTCAACGCAGGAGCTGCTCCCTGGTGGTAAGTGCGCTCCCACAGGAGGAGCACTGCTCAGCCAGAAGCCAGGCTCACAGCTGGCGAGAGCAGTGGCAGTGGCGGGAGCCTCTCCCGCCTCCGTGGCAGTACTAAGGATGTCCGACTGACAGCTTAGGCCTGTATGAAATAAAAAGGCAAACACAAGGTGGAAGAAGATATTTGCACCACATATATCTGGCAAAGGACTCATACTCAAAATATGGGAAAAGAAGTCCTATATATCAAAAAGGAAAAAAAAATATAACTATACCTTTAAAAATATAAAGAAGAAAGAAGAGGAAGAAGACGACCAATAAACATATAAAAAGGTGTTTAACTTCACTAGTCAGGAAAAGGCAAATTGAAACCTAGTAATTTGAAGAGCAACTTGAACTCTTATACTTTGCAAACAAAGCATTAATAATTTTAAGCTAATACAGAAGTACCTATATTAAGAAGTATAAAATCCTCAGACTCTAACATGAATGTTAATATTTTCAAAAATGTCTTACCTCTTTTTGTACAAGGCTAAATTTTTCAAGTAGTTTACATTTTTCTTCCATTAGTGTAGAAAGTTCCACAGCAAGCTTTTTCTCTCTTTCTAAATAAAAAGTTAAAATATAAAAACATTTATCCATAAAGATATATATACCCCTATGTTCAATTACAACATCATTTACAATAGCCAAGAAATAAAAACAACCTGACAGACACTGGTTAAAGAATATGTGATGTGTATAAATATACAGTATAGTATAAAATTATACAATGGAAAACTACTTAGCAATAAAAAGATGAAATATTCACATTGATGACAACATGAACAAATCTTTAAAGTATTATGCTAAGTGAAATAAACCAGGCTAAAAAGGACAAAAAATATGATTTCACTAATATGTGTAATATAAAACAAACAGCAACAAACGAACTAACGAAAAAAACAAACTTACAGATACAGACAACAGAATGGAGATTATCAGTAGGGAAAGGGGTGGAGAGAAGGCAAAGTTGGAAAAGGGGGTCAAATATATTGTAATGGAAGGAAACTAGACTTCAGGTGGTAAGCACATAACAGGGTACACATATGTAGAATTATAATCTTATACACCTAAAAATCATGTTATTAACCAATGTTACCCCAGTAATTTTTTTTAAAGTTAATATTATCATGTGTAAATTGTTTTAAGTTTTAAAATTAGAAATAATGGTGAGGTCTAAAGTAGAAAAAAGAGCTTACCCACATAAAGCCGGCTTCTAACCTGAAACAAATTTTAAGCAAAATTACATTAAAACAAATACACATTCAAGTAAGTCTAATTTATTTAACTTATACTGCCAATTTAAAAATAACACTTTTCTTATTGCCTAAGTATGAATTTGTTAATCAAAAGTGTTCTGTCCAATGAGAAAAATGCAACATATTAAAATCTATTAAAAATTCACATTGTGTATTAGGATATTAAAAGTGCTGAAATACTGTATCATTTAGCCCATTATTCCTCAAACATATTTGGCCCTAAAACAAACTATTTCAGGAAACCCCTATCATTATCTCCCCTAGTGCTAATATCCAAAATAACACAATTTGAGAAATCCAGGGTCATGGATCTGAACTGACTATAAAGAAACAGGAAACACTACCTTTGTATTCTTTAATATCTCTCTCTCTCTCTCTCTCTTTCTCTCTCTCTCTCTCTCTCTCTCAAATAATGAAGGAAAAATTCCACCTGTAGGGAGATCAGATTTAGGGTTAAGGTAATATAAGCAAGTATAAAGAAACAACGGGGAATTAATTCATCTACAGAAGATGTATAGGGATAAAATTTTAAAAAACAAAACAAAATTTAAGCCTTGTCTGTGTGGCTCAGTGGTTGAGCGATCACTCATGAATCAAGAGGTCAGGATTCAATTCCTGGTCAGGGCACATTGCACAGGTGGCGGGCTCAATCCCCAGTAAGGGGCTCCCAGTAAGGGGCATGCAGGAGGCAGCTGATCAATGATTCTCTCTCATCACTGATGTTTCTATCTATCTCTCCCTCTCCCTTACAATCTGAAATCAATACAAATATATTTTTTTTAAATGTTTAAAGTCAAGGTACAGTAGTATGGGTAAAGATGAGGAATTAGCGAACTGAAACATCAGATTGAGGAACTCCCTCAAAAGATAACAGGAAACTACCAAAAAAAAATATTTTTAAGTTAAGAGATATAGAAATCTTGCCCTGACTGGTTTCGCTCAGTGGATAGAGCGTCAGCTTGTGGACTGAAGGGTCCCGGGTTCGATTCTGGTCAAGGGCATGTACCTTGGTTGCGGGCACATCCCCAGTAGGGGTGTGCAGGAGGCAGCTGATCGATGTTTCTCTCTCATCGATGTTTCTAACTCTCTATCCTTCTCCCTTCCTCTCTGTAAAAAAAATCAATAAAATATATTTTTTTTTTAAAAAGAGAGATATAGAAATCTTAAGCATAAGGGCTAACATCTAAAACACAGTAATCCCAAAAAAGATAAATAAAAATGTAAAATGCAGAAGAAATTTCCCTGATTTAAAAAATGATAAAAGATCTCATTAAAAGAATAGAAATGAGAGTGCAGAAAAGGTCTACATGTATGTGGAACTCTTACATGTGGCATAGCAGATGAGTAGGGAAAGGAGAGACTATTCAATACATGAAGCTGGAAAAAGTGGTTATATTTGGGGGGCAAAAATTACACTGAATTCCTATCCCATATCAAATAAAACATTGGATTCAAGATGAATCAAGGACTTACATCTTAAAAACAAAATTTTAAAATTAAGAATATCGCCCTAACCGGTTTGGCTCAGTGGATAGAGTGTTGGCCTGCGGACTGAAAGGTCCCAGGTTTGATTCTGGTCAAGGGCATGTACCTTGGTTGCGGGTACATCCCCAGTGGAGAGTGTGCAGGAGGCAGCTGATCAATGTTTCTCTCTCATCTATGTTTCTAACTCTCTATCCCTTCTCCCTTCCTCTCTGTAAAAAGTCAATAAAATATATATATTTAAAAAAAATAATAATAAAATAAAATTAAGAATATCTGCTCATCAGAAAACACTTTAAGAAAAATGAAAAGAAGTTTCATACTGGGACACAGACTATACACATAATCAATAAGGGTAGCATCAAGAATAACGAACACCTACAAATAAAAAAACAACAAACTACTCAATAAAAACTTAAGCAAAAGACATAAACAACTGTTTCCCAAAATGACAAACACATATGACTGGTAAATTTAGTAACAGATTATAATCTCACTAGAGATCAAGGAATTCAAATCAAGACCGTCATTTTTCCATTCAAGTGGCAAAATAACAAGTGTTGGAGAAGACAGAAATCAAATGGATCTCTGGGCCTCTTATATATTGCTGGTAAGGGTATAAACTGGTACAGACAATTTGGAAAACAATTGGCATTATGTTTAAAAGTAGAAGTTCCCATATATTCTATAACCCAGTAATCTCACACTTAAGTATATTCCCAAGAGAAACTTTAAAATACACAACAGGCCTTTGCTGGTGTGCTCAATAGTTAGAGTGTTGGCCCCAGACTGAAGGGTCTCGGTTCGATTCTCAGTCAAGGGCACATACCTGGGTTGTAGGTTAGATCCCCGGCCCCAGTCAGGGGTCATAGGGGAGGCAACCAATCCATGTGTCTCTCTCACATCAATGTCTCTCGCTCTCTCTATCTCTATCTCTATCTCTATCTCTATCTCTCTTCCCTCCCTCCCTCCCTCTCTGCCTTCTACTCTCTCTAAAAAGCAATGGAAAAAAATATCCTCAGTAAGAATTAAAAGAAAAAAGAAAAAAAAGGTAAAATAAAAAACAGGAGATATGTATAAGAATATACATAGCAGGTGGCTACTGGAAATATCAGGAGAAACACTTTGTAAAGTATGAGTGTCTAACCATTATGCTGTACACCTGAAATTAATGCAAAATAATACTGAATGTAAACTGTAATTGAAAACATATATTTAATTAAAAATAATATACAGAGCAGCACTAATAGTAATAAAAAAAAAACTGAAAACAACCCAAATGTCCAAGACCATAAAATCTAAAATTTTAGTATACTCTTACAATGTAATTTCTACAGCAATCAAAATGGAAAAAAATTAGTCTCATGCAAAAACATGGATGACTCTTAGGAATATACAATGGAATAAAAAAGTTCCAAAACATGACACAGAGCATGAAACTGCAGAAAATCACATATATACTTTTGATAAATATATGTAGATAGAACCAAAAAAAATTTTAAGGCTTGGGAATAACAAGGATCAGGATAAGGTTACCTCTAGTACAGGGAGGCAGGGAGATGAAATAAGGGAGGATCACCTAACTATAAGTGATACTCAATGTTTGTCTCCGGGTTGAGTGGCATATTCACAGATGTTTAGCATACTTTAAAACAAACACAGACATAAATAAATACTAAAAGTAAGGTTTTAGTATTAGTTCTACAAAGAAATCCTTTAACATTTTTACACTAAAAATATTCCTCTAAATCTATATTCAGTTTCTAGTAGCCACACATTAACATGAGTGATCTATGTAACTACAACTTAACCTGTTATCTTAAAATAAAAGATGTTTCTCATATTACTTGTTCAATCTGAAGACAAAATGAACATTCTCTTAGAAAGTATATAGCACTGGTTACTTACCGATCGAAAGCTTCTCCACAGAAACAAGAAAACAGCAAAAAATCCAACAATCACTGCACATACCAGCAATTCCCATGGAAAACCATAGGGATTAGAACCTTCTCTCATATCTTCAGGCAATGCTGCCACAACCTTCAAGACAAGAAAATTAACTACCATTATGATAACTTACAAAATCTGTGACTCCAACTCTGAGTTTTATAATACCAGTTTATTGGACAATAATCTACGTGAATATATTGGAGGGCCCACTGCAGAAGAGAACCATCTGCTAGTCTGTATTCTATTGAAATGGGAAACTTCCTGCAAATGGTTACGGTCTACCACCTTTGCTGTAGAAAGGAAGGTGGTCTTTCCCAAGCCAATCAGACAAGTAGAGGGGAGGGCCTCTATCTACTGCACACATTCTCTCTTGGGACACAGACTTTGCTAAATGCAGAGATGGGCGCTCACATGGTGCCTAGGACATAGAAATATGCCAGGTCCTAAAAATGAGGCAGAGTCTAGGAGCCAAAAGGAAGGCATATTGTGTAGGCTGAATTATCTGTCTTATTCTCTATGGTGTCTTCTTTTTTTTTTTTTTTGCATACAAGCGTTTAGTAAAGGTTTACTTAAATGTTTCCATCTTGCTTCAGCTACAGTATGAGGAATCAGGCTTAGCCTAAGTGCTAAATAAAAGCGCAGGAGCTCTCCAGCACCCTTACCTGGAGCCCACTTAGGCCTCCAGCAAGCATCACTGCGCGTCACTCCGAGCCCCCCTTACGTTTCTGGTCACACAGCTCATCCAGTTCGCTGCACACACCATGCTGCTTCATGCCCCCTCTGCTTAAACTATCCCCGCAGCCTTTCCTAAAGACTCAAGAAAATGCAGTCTCTCCCACCCCTCAATTTCCCTAGCACTTTCTGTATATGCTTCCGTGAGCACTTCATCAGTTTCTACTTGGTCCTTTTTTCTGTCTTGCCTCCCCTGATAGCATGATGCCAGGGGCCAAATTATGTCACAGTCCATTTAGAACTCCCATAGAACTGCCATATACATAGGAATACCATGGCAACTGTACTTTTTATTTACATAACAAGAAACAAATCATCATAGCTGCCCCCTTATTGAAAAGGGCTTTTTAAATTTCTAGTGCAAATAGGTGTTTTTGAAAAACACGGCAACATGAATGTCACTAAACATGTCTACAAAGACAACTATAAAGACTCAGAAAAATCCCTGCAACGTGACTATAAACTGAACCTAATAATGTTGAACACTTGGAGTTTAATATCTCCAGGTTTTCCATTAACACGACCTTTTACATGAGCAAGACAACAGAAAGAACAATCTCTCTTACGGTAAAGCATCTCAAAAGAGCATCTTAACAGAAGATGCAGAATTAGCATCCCAACTCCCTGCCCAGGCTCAGGTATCCGTTCAGGACAACGAGAAGTTTCATCACTAAAAGGGACTCATTTCAGAGGATCAGTCAAGTTTCCTACAGTCGGGGGAACTACGTGGCACTGACTCCTGTTCAAGATCAATAACATGACAGAAAGCATCACTCGTTAGGAATCGGGAAACACTTCACACACCTTTGCAAAGTCCCGCTAAGCAAATGCTCTCTTCGCCGTCCTCGCCTCCAGGGTCCCTCCACCACAACAAGCGGCCCCAGCATCCCGCGGCCGCAGGACCCCGGCTCCGGGACCTCCCACCGCCGCCGCTCAGACCCCAGCGCCGAAGTCAGCCGCTTCCTTCCCCGGCGGCTTCCGCACCCCGGGCCCGGGAGCCCGACCTCGCCTGGGCTTACCCTGCGTAGCTTCTCCAGGACCAGCCCCAAGTACGGCTGAGGGGCAGACCGGGGCTGCTCCATGGCGCGGGGCCGCCGCAGCCTGGGCCTGGCGGAGCCTAAGTCAGCGGCGAGCCCGCAGCGCTCTGTCCACCACCCAGACCCGCACCGGGCAACCGGGTCAGACCACTGCGGAGCCGGCTGCGGGGGGGGTGCTGGACAGAGCGAGCGGCCCCACAGGCCTCCGGTGTCCACGCTGCCCACTGGGAAGCTGAGGCCACCACGGGACGCTTTGCGTCCAGGTGATCCGCAGCTCCACGCCCGACCGGCAGGAGCCCGCAACTTGCCCTTCCCCGCCGCCCCACCCCTCTGTTTGGTTTCGGCCAGGCCGCCGTGGGGGCGGACGCAGTGAAGGTCCCGCCTTCTTCGCGCGAGGTTGGTAGACGTGTCCCGGGCGCTTGCTCTTAAAGGGGCCGGCTCTCTACCTGGCAAAGCCACCCACCTTTGGAAGTCCAGGGGTTCGGGGCTGAGAAAATGGGCATCGGCCTCCGGCTCTGCGCTGGGGTGTGAGCCGCTCAGCCCAGAGGCCGAGGGCATTGGCCCAGGACCTCTCCCCCACCACCCCCACCCCCATCGGGTGGCCGCGGGCTGTGAGGCTTCCCCGGGAGGCCCCTCCGCGCCGGGCGGTAAGCGCGGCGCGCCCCCAGCCCCGACGGCGGCGCTCTCCTCTCGCAGCCCCGCAAGAGCCTTCTGTCTGCGCCCCACGGAAGCCCCGGCGGCGTCGTACCCCGGGGGACCCCGCAGGTCCTGGAAAACCGACCGCCGCCTCCATTGCAGTTAGAAGATGACCTGCAGACCCGCGCCTGTGCGTGCTGCCAACCACGTCCGGACTTCCGACTTTGGACGGGAAGACTTCTCGGGTCACCTGTTGTCTGGACAAAGTTTAACCTCTCCCACGCAAGGGAACATCGGCCGGGTCTCCTCCGCCCTGCGGAGGGTTCTGGGGCTACTCACTGTTACCTGAATCACCTGAGAACTTACTGGGCGGGATTGGCCTAAGCTTCCTAAATGCCCCGCTACCTACCCGTAAGGACCTTGCTGGACGAGTGCGGTTCTCCCCCAGAAGGGAAGCTAAAAGTAGCGCCTCGCCCTCTAAATTTAGGGCCCTATTTTTAGGTCTGTAGCATAAAGTAAGGGGCCAGACTTGTTCATGGGAGATGGTTTTAGCTGACAGAGGTGCAGAGAGTAACCCCTCTGTGAGTCTCCCTTGCCGGCATGATAAGCCTCACCAAATTCAGCTTTCCAACTCACGTCCTCAAGTGCAGCAACTCAAAAAGGAAGGTACTTCTTCCAAAACAAATCACCCAAGAGAACGCAATAGTTAAAAGGTTAAATCCGTAGGAAATGTCCCTAATGCAAACTCTGGTAGCAACAGAACTACGGTGCCAAAAAAAAAAATTAAAAAGAATTAAAAAGCGGCCCAGGTTCACAGCAAGTGGTTTTCAGGACCAAAATGCGGCCTAGTTTTTGGAACTCAGAAAGCGCTCTCGGGTTTGCCACATCAGCCTACCGCGTTTCAGGAACTGTCAGTATCAGAGTCGAAGACATTACTCAATGCTCCATTTAAAGGTAGCACACACCCTTCATAGGCATTGGACAGCGCTGTGTTGAAATTTTGTGAATCGCTTATTAAGGTCAAAAAAGAAGCATAACCAAAATTTTATCTTTAACATTTCAAAGAATCTTGGAACAATGTATGCCTCTATTAGAACATTGTATTACCCGATAAAAATTATTTAAAAGAAAGATCTCAAAGTTTCACCTTGCCCATAAGCAAAAACACAGTAAAACTCACAAACTCAGTGTCAGATGCAAACCTAATTTCCATATACTTAATTAGCCATGTAGAAACTTACCTCTTCCTCCGGGTCTTTCAAGTCCATTTTTAAAACTCATGTGAAAATATCCTAACCTGTAAATAAAGCTTTGCTAAGCACCCCATATCCTTGAGAAAGAGTTCAGGTTCTAACACATCCTGCACTCTTGCCTTTCAACACTGACTGTGATCCTGTGTTGACACTTGTGGGTATAGGGGTGCTATAGGTGGAGTTGTGACTACCAACCCATAATTCAGTTTCATGGACATCACTGCTGATTAAATGTCATACTTACAAAATATCATGCATATTACTACCCTCTTAAAATCTATAATTGCGCCGAACCGGTTTGGCTCAGTGGATAGAGCGTCGGCCTGCGGACTGGAGGGTCCCGGGTTCGATTCAGGTCAAGGGCATGTACCTTGGTTGCAGGCACATCCCCACTGGGGGGCGTGCAGGAGGCAGCTGATCGATCTCTCTCATCGATGTTTCTAACTCTCTATCCCTCTCCCTTCTTCTCTGTCATACTTACAAAATATCATGCATATTACTACCCTCTTAAAATCTACAATTGCAAAAAGAATTTGGTAACTGATAAAAATTAAATTGCATGATTTATTCTATCGTCTGTTCATGTAGAGTACATAATTTTTGCATTTAAAAAATATTCGGAGATAGTTGTTCAGTAGACATGGGATTTGGGTGTCTTTAATAGACCTACTTTGGCCCTGGCTGAGTGGTTCCCCTGATTGGAGCATCCTCTGGGACACCAAAAGGTTATGGGTTCAATCTGGTCAGGGTACAGACATGAGGCAACTAATCAATGTTTCTCTCACAGAGGTGTTTCTCTCTCTCTCTCTCTCTCTCTCTCTCTCTCTCTCTCCTTTCCTCACTCTCTAAAAATCAATAAAAACATATCCTCTGGTGAGGGTTAAAAATAATATATATTAACCAAGAACATTGGAAATGTGCTAGCCAGTAAACCTTGTCCACAATCTAGAAACTGATTTCCCTTTTGAAGGGCCTGTTTACAAAGCTTTAAGTTCCTGTTACTTCCATTTGATTAAACAGGCAATGTCACAGTCTACAAGATCTAGTCCTTTGGAAGAAGATCAAACATTTATTTTCCTTCTCTGAACTGTGATGTAAGAGTTGCTCTCAGAACATATCGAATCAGGAATTACCTGTTGAACAAGAGCTAGGAAATTTCCATTGTTTATTCCACATATAAGTTAAGCATTCTAGTTAATAATATATAAATGTTAGAACTCAAAGAGCTTCCTCAATTATAAAATAAAGTAGATTTAAAAAGTGGTATTAATTCCTATTAAACAATTCAAAGAATGTTGTGTACAAAATCTGATATCACCAGCAAATAGAAACAATTACCTGAAATATTTAGGCAAGAAGAAAAGCAAAGACTCTTGCCTACATTTAACTGAAAAATTCCTCAAATTTTCCATTTATTGCAGCTATTCAAAAC